TGGAGTTTTGCGCATCGTGTGTGTGTGTGTGTGTGTGTGTGTGTGTGTGTGTGTGTGTGTGTGAGAGAGAGAGACAGCGTCACATCACAGTAGAGTCAGCTGTCTTAACCACTGCTTGTGTACTGCATCATTACTGTGTCTGTTCCCCTTTCGGGCTTGAACTGATGGTAAAACTAATGACATTATTTATTGTCTTTACATTTATTTTGAAAGATGAAGCTCACGATTATGGTAAGGGGAGTTACATTTCCGACGAGTGCTTGTGGTGTTCGGCCAATCACAATGCACTGGGTCAGCTGGCCAATCAGAGCAGACTGCGCTTGTCGGAAGGAGGGACTTTGTAGAAAACTAAGCGTTTGAGAAAGGCGGGGCATAGAGGACTTACAATAATGTACAGTATTTGAAAAATAATGTTTTTTGAACATTAAAGCATGTCAACATATTCTGTTACACCAAATAATGATCTTTAAAAAAGCATCAAATGACCCCTTTAAGACTGGTCCAGGGTCACATATATTATTATTATTTATGATATATTTTCATAACATTTAATAATATTAATATAAATGTACTGTTAAATATTTATAATAAATATTTATGTCTGTTAAAGACTTTTATATATATATATTTTTAAATCTTTTTAAGCTTCCTGAAAGTGCTGAAGTATAACTAATACATTAGCTGGTGACTCACCATATGTACTTCGGTTCAGCTCTATAATTTTAATTGTAATCATTTTTTTTTTTTTTTTATGTATTACCTGTTTTTCTCTTTTAGGGGACTCGTTCACACAGTTCAGGTTCTCTGATGAGAAGGACTGGGAGATGGACTCACTGGCAAAAAATCAGGTGCATGATCAGTCATTTCATAAATGATGTTTTCCAGCGCAATCATTGAAATCCTGTTGTTTGAGGAAATATGCTCACATGGTTGATTTCTTTAGATTCCAGCTCTGTTTATAGACCTGCCAGCTTTAACTCAGTCACTTCAAGAGCTTTCACTGCACACAAGACTGAACCTGGAGGCTGAGCTTGTGCAGGTGAATCAATTTCCTTTCTTGTTGGAATACCATGAAATACGTAGTTGTACCAGTGAAGAATGTAGTACTAGCGATTTAATATGTTTCAGTTGACGACTCCTGTTGAACTGCAGTCCGTAACAGTGCCTCACAGAACTGACTCGACTCTAACAGCTGGACTGAAAGCTTCTCAGGCAGGCCCAGAGTCAGGCCTGGGCGTTTCCTGCAGTGTAAAGCCTGCTTCAGGTACCACACCGTCTCTCTGTGTCTCCACAGCCGTCCCTCCTGCCACAGATGATGCTGACCAGGAGCTCGACCTTCTCCTCAACTTGCAGAAACCCATCACAGAAATTACTTCAGACAAATCCCACGCTATATCAGATGATGTGCTAAACACCTCGACACAAGGTTGGTATATACTGTATGTGTGTGTTTTTTTTTTTTGGTTAAACAGTGTTGGGGTGTACAGTAACTAACTAAATGTAGTATTAGTAGACGTCCAGTAACAAGCTACATAATCAGACTCATTTAAGTGAGAGTCAGTTCACTGATCAAACAAATGATTTGCTAAATAATTTTAATCGCTGCATCTATTTTTAGCAAAATATGTAGTTGAATGCTGTCTCTTTTTATAAATACACTACCATTCAGAAGTATGGGTCAGTAAGATAAAAAAAAATAATTATACTTTTATTAAACAATGACACATTATCTTGATTAAAAGTAAAGATGTTTACGTTGTTAAAAAACTTATTTCAAATAGCTGTTGTTCTTTTGAACTTTCCTTTTTTGTTTCTTGAGCAGTAAATCAGAATATCAAATGATTTCTGAAGGATCATGTGACAATATAGACCGGAGGAATGACTGTTGAAAATTCAACTGTCATCACGGGAATAACTTAATGTAAATATTTCACAATATTACTGTTCCCACTGTAATTTGTCCAATAAATGCAGTCTTGGTGCACATAAGTAGCTTCTTTCAAAACAAAAACAAAAAGAAGTCATACAAACCCCAAACTTTTTCAAAGTAGGTTCAAGAACACTGATGTGAAAATGTGATTTTATCGCCTCAACAGGTTCGGAGGAAAAAGAGAGAAAAGCTCAAATAGCTGATAAGGAGGAGACAAAGCCAGAAGTGGAAAGTGAAGCTAAACCTACGAGGCAGGAAGTGACAGAGGAGGACCTGGAGGACTGGCTGGACAGCATGCTCTCCTGATCCCAGAGAAGCTGACTGACACTGCTGTGGATTAAATCACATGCAGCTTTGCTAATACTGACATACTGTGACTTCTGTGCGGACGTGAACATCACACCACGACACTTCATTAAGTCTTATAATAGCCAAGACTAATTCAGTCATGTGGAATATAAAATGCTTCTTCAATATATTACTCATAAAAGTGATGTAATTCTGTGTAACAGTTTTCAGACCCATCATATTCTCACTCATCATTTGACTCCGATTAAAATCAGCAATGACCGACTGGGATTTATTGCATTAGCTACTTTATTTTCATTCCCCCTGCTCAAAACAAATGCAAATCACCAAAGCTACTACATAAATACAAATGGCCATACAATAGCAGTTTACAGTATTGACTTCTGTTCAATAAATGGAATCATTTTTGTCCTCGAATGTAGATTCCCATTGTTTTGCATTCACACTTCACAAATCAGTTAAACACAATTTCTGGTATTTAACCTTAACCAAACATTTTAAAAAGCCGTGTAATCTTTACTTATGAACAAACGTCAACTAAAGCTACAAAACTACTAACCCAGGTGAGAGGCAGTCAGTGATAGTCTAAACTAAAATGCAAACTAGCAAAACATACAAGCAGGAACAAAATGTTTGCATAGTCTCTTGTCTGTATAAGGCACTTTTCTGTATGAGAAACAGCTAGTGGACTGAAGCAGATGATTATTATATTTCTCATTCCACCAGTCAGATTACCGTCCTTAAAGGCATTGCACATTCTTCATAGTCTTTTTGTTGTTTTTAAATCAAACAGGCATAAATTGTGTTTGGCACTCATTGAATACTAAGAAGGTATTCTTGTGCATATTTGTGTAGACATTCATTCAACATCAAAAACATACATATGTTAACATCTCATCTCACAAGTTTGTGTGCATTTGTGAGTTAAGCAAATGAGGCTATTTCCCATGTTTTTTTTTTTTTTTTAATCAAAGACTTTCTGTCTTAGTTTGGCAATGTGTGCTACATGTTTTTTTTTCTTTTTTGTTTTTTCCTCAATGTTGCACTTGAGTTCACATTTTTGGCTTGATCACAATGAGTTCTCAGTATGTCGCTGTCATTTCTGGTGTTGAAACGATTGAGGTTCTTTTTTGATTGGATGAATTAGTGAGCAGCCTATGATGAGAGCTAGTTTAGGATGTTGTGTCCAACCTGTACAAAGTCCTAAAATCTGTATAGATATTAGGAGCTCATATAGGTTGGAGTGTGTGATTTCTCTCATATTAGGACTGAGGACAACATGTCCTCTAGCCCAGCTGGTCCTCGTATTGCTTCCGGAAACAGTCTCCGGCAGGGAAGAAATCCCAGCACCTCTCCTGATACATCTTCCAAACATACGACTCCTGTAATAGAAGAATAATTAGAAGATATAACTTATTAAATAACATTCGCTACCATACACAAGTCTGGGGTCTTTTTTTTTTTTTTAAAGAAGACATTAATACTTTTATTTAGCAAGGATGCATTAAATTGATTGAACAGTAAAGGCATTTATAATTTGACCCAAAACAAACTTATATTTTAAATAAATGCTGTTCTTTTGCTCTCTATTCTTCAAAGAATCTTAAGAAAAAAAATCTACTTTCCACAAAAATATCAAGGAATGTTTTCAACATTAATATTAGGAAATGTTTCTTGAGCACCAAATCAGCATATTAGAATGATTTCTGAAGGATCATGTGACACTGAAGACTGGAGTAATGATGCTGAAAATTCAGCTTTGCATTACAGGAATAGATTTTGGCTCATAAGTTTACATACCCCTTGCAGAATGTATAAAATGTTAATAGAATAAGATGGATCATGAAAATTGCATGATTTTTAAAGCATTTATTTAGCTAATAAATACATACCTTGTTCAAGACAGTACTAAAAAAATAACATTCAAATTTCATGATCCCTCTTATTTAGGTTCTAGCATTTAGCATATTCTTCAAGGGGTATGTAAACTTATGAGCAGAACTGTAAATTACAACAAAAAATTTTTTAATGGTATTAATATTTCAGAATATTACTGTTTTTAACTGTATTTTTGATCAAATAAATGCATCCGTGGTAAGCATAAAAGAGTTCTTTCAGAAATATATATTTTTTTTAATTACCGACCCCAAATTTTGAAAGGCAGTGTATATTGATTTTATAAATAGGCCACTAGTTTTAATTGGATTAGTAGATTACCTGACCAGTGTATTCAGTCTCATCTTTGTTGATAAGATACATCAGGAAGAATCTGTTAGAAAGGAATATTTGAATATTCAGATGTGTTTAGTTGCTAAAGGAAGCATTATAACAATGTAAATGTCTTACTTTACATATCGGATGTTACAGTATTGCATATACAGTGTTTACTCACAAATAGTTGGCCAGATTGTGCTCTTGTAAGGTATGGGTCTCAAAGCCATGCGGGGTTCTGTCGAAGTAGTCATTTCCAATTCCACAGATGAAGCATTTTGTCTACACCGAAGATTAAACATTTTTAAAACCGGAACAGACTGACCTCTCTTTAGACCTCACAGCTGTTAGACGTGTGACAGCACTCACCTCCATGTCCTCTTTCACCTGCTCCTGCTGGTCTCTCAACTCACCGAAGGCATCAATGATCAAACCTGGTTTGAAAATGAAAGCATTCACCATTATGTTGGTGTTCTGAATGTACCAAGTATTGACTGTGAGATTATGATCAGTTGGGTAGTTCTGTTGCGATCAGTGTGGCTTATAAAGAGTTTAGTCGGGCATTGAAAGCAGCGCACTACAGCAGTACCCTGAATGATGGCCAGCAGAATGACGATGACAAAGAAGAAGAAGGTGATGTCAAACAGAATGCGGTAGAGCTCGTATGGGTCACCGGCTGGATCCACGATTTCATCACCGATGCCACCGCCAGCTCTCACACCCACGTACATGTGGAACAGGTAGCACTGGGGATTCATTTTAGTTTTTAATGATCTTGCAAAGCACACTTTTTAAGCTTTTGATAACAAAAAACATTCTCATTAAATGAAAAAAATAATAATAATCCAGTCACTATCAGAAGCATTTAGGTCACATTAGCATTTGATATGACCTGACACATTAAATAGTAACTAGTGCATTTCTGCAATAATAAATGAAAAATGTAGTGTTTTGCAATAATGCATCCAGTCAGTACAAGTCCAAGATGACTTCCAGATCAGCCAGGTGAACAAAAACACTCTAAATGTACTTCAAGGATCCTTTCAAAATTAAAAGCTAAACTCACAGTCATCATATCATCACACTTCATGTCAGGCGCATCCTCATCCTCGCTCTTGTTGTAGAACTTGCGGAAGAAGTTAAAAGCCACCACGGTGTACAGGTAGACCACGACCGCCAGGAGCCCCACGGTCAACACCAGCTGTTCAAATGAAGAAGGTATTTTCATCAGGTCACCAGTACCTTGGTGTAAAGCTGTTCCACAGTCACCCCCTGCTGGATGAGACTTACCTGTTTGCCATTGTGGGTCACAGAAGAGAGGATTGTCCTTAAGGTCTTGAAGCCCATGGCAATGTCCAGCAAATGAGCGGCAAAGAAGAAGTTATTGTAATGTCCCAAAATAGACATGGTGGTGTACCAGATCAGGTAGAGGTAAGACTAGAGATGAAAGACAACACGTTATTGTCCTGATACAGGATATGCTTCTTAATCTTTTCAAATCTGAGCCATACTCACGTTGTCCGTCAGCACCACCCCCATTTTCCAGATGTGGTACTTGGTATCAATTGAGCTCAACCTGCAATTGAAACCAAAACATGACTGAATGCTTTAATGCTCTTTCAAACCTAATGTTTTCAGGTCCCGTCAGCTCACCAGGACACCAGGGAGGCTTCCTTCACCACGGCTTCTTCAGTGGGATCAAAGTCCAGAGCACTCTTATCCAGACCCAGGAGTTCAGCTATGCGTTCAGCCCCGTACAAGTCACCATATTTATTGATGACCTACAGAGGACAGTGGAAATTGGATATGAAGACAGTCCAATGAATTCAAGCACCATCAAGTTTTGTGTGATTCTGCTTACCTTCCTCTTAACAAATTTGTCCCAGTAATTGTTAGGGAAGGACCTGAAAGACAGGTAAGGAAGATTCTAAGTACTCAAAGGATGCTCTGAAGGATTGATTCATCAATTACTTCCTGAATAACAAAGGATATGTATACTAATGAACAGTATGTGGGTAGTTACAACTAAAACTGATACTGAGATAAAATTGATATTAAAATCAATTAAAAGGAAAGTGTACATCGTGGGTCCTGTAAATGGTTACAATTTACTTGAAGTATTTTGAATGGCATTCTTTTTAAATGGTCCTGTAGTGTGACAAATATGTTACAAAGTTACAAATACTTGTACTTTTGATATGTATATTTCATACTTTTGAAAAACTTTGATATGTATATTTATTGTAAGTTCTAGTACAGCATATCAAAGTATTTCATGTCAATGTACATACAGTACACTACAATTCAAAAGTTTGGTCAGTAAGTTGTTTTTTAAAAGAAATTAATACTTTTATTTAGCCAGGACACATTAAATTGACCAATAATGACATTAAATTATAATGTTACAAAAGACTTCTGTTCTTTTGAACTTTTTTTATTCATTAAAGAATTCTAAAAAAAAAAAAAAAAAGAAGAAAATGTATCATGGTTTCCACAAAAACATTATGCAGCACATCTGTTTTCAACAGTGATAAGAAGACATTTTTCCATAGACCTAAGTTTTATTTCATGGCTGATCCCATTTTTCTCTATCTGCCCCATGCTTTCCTGTCTGATCTGTACTGTCCTATCCAATAAAGGCATAAAAAGGTCAAAAATATATCTTAAAAAAAAAAACCTCCTACTGACTGCAAACTTTTGAACAGTAGTATAATGTGATACATGTTGTACTGATGTATGTGGAGCTAATGTACACTATTACCACAGTATATAGTACTTTTGATTGCTACACTATAATAATATTTGAAACTGATACTGTAATGTAAATATAAAATAAGGGACTGAATAAAAGAGACTTTCTAAAGTGTTTCTTACGGAGTTGCAATGACCAAACGATCCCACTGTCCTTTGATGTCATCATCAGATGGCTGCTCGGTAATATACAAACCATCAAACTCAAGCTTCCTAGCGATATCCTTCTCCCGCTTGAACACGACTAAAGGAACCTATAGCAAGGACAAAACAAGGTTACATGGACTCTATTGTGCAGCATCTGGCTTTGACATATTCTTAATCCTGATTAGTGTAACCAAATGAAAGAAATCGGGATACACCTTAAGGCAGTAATATCCAACGACACAGAGTAAGGAGATGATCGTGTGCAGTACAGCCAAGAACGTCAATGTGGGTGCCATGTAGCCAGTGCTCTCCTGAAGAATGAAGTATTCCATTCCTTCATCATCTTCATCACCTTCCTCCTCTTCACCACCCCAGGATCCCTCTTCCTC